AAATGTTGACTATTTTAGTGTATATTAAAAAAAGTAAACTTATTACTGGGTGTTCATGGTTTTGGTAACATTTTTGTAATTTAATCGCTTTAGATCGAATAAATTTAGCCAATTTTAAAATAGAGGAACTTGTGGAAATATGAATAAAATTATTATTAAAAACCCAAACCACAAAAAATGTTAACTTACTCGCGCATCTGTGTATAAGTTTAATTTTTTTTGTGGATTGAGGTTTTAATAATATTACATTAAACAAATTTCAGATGGTCGGTTAGGCTATTTTAATTAATCTAGTATTTGTTAGTGGTTACTAAAGTGTTGAAGATAGCTATAATAATAATTATATTATTACCTACTTAAAACAAATTATCGTTTCATATTATTTACAGCTGTCTCATTTTTTAGTAGACGACTAGGAAAGTATTTCATTGTACAGTCGTTATTATTATATGACTAGAACATATTAATATCTCGTTAAGTTATTCGTGTAAAACGGTTGAAATGGTCCATGACACGGTTTGCTAGCGATTTCGACGCTGAATTTTCTCACGATGTTCATGTACCCGAGGTTTATTTATTTGTTTATCAAATAGGGGTTGGAACCCTAAGACAAAAGATGTACTCATTTTAACAAACCGGTCACCTATTGTTTTATCCGTTACCCGAATTGGATACATTTTATCCGACAACGCGATTCATTTGCATAAGACCCCTGCTATTGTCTTCGCGGCGAAAATTATTTTTTCCGTTTATTTATAATAATATGTGCTCGTTTTTTTTCCATACCGTTTCGTTTTGTTTCAACACATTCATCGCGGACCCACGTGAAGCGACTGTGGCCAAAAAAAAAAAAATCCTCCACAATAAATATGTTACAATATGTCTTCGCCTGTATTATAAAAATACGGTGTGCCACCACCTGGCCTCGCAACCGGTTCACTTGTCGGAAACAATGATCGCTTTGTTTTAATACCGTCGAACAATGCTCGGTTGTGGCACGGAGCTGTAGGTAACAAAACTTTATTAGGATGCCATATAAAGGGTTGAATCAGATGACCGAAGAATCGGTCGGACGACCGTTCGCAGCATTATATTATTCAAAATAATAAAACTATCAAAATATGTACAGTTTTTATCGAGTACAAATGAAATTTCAGTTAAAAATCGCATCCCTTCGCGACTGTATACACGTTTTCTCCACGGACATACAAAACTACACCTGCTGTCGGTTGCATTCATTGTATTCGACTAAATTAAACTGCTCATCGGTAGTCCGGTCGGAAATTATTTCTTGATAAACGCAATTTTAAGTATGCTAATACTATTTACACTGATCATGACCTAGATTAAGAAATAATGTAAATGTAAAATGTGTAATGTTTTCAAATGCTAAACTGATTTTCATTTGCGAAAAAGTGTTGTACGTTTATTTTGTATTGCCATTTTAAATCATTATCATCATCATGTAGCTTAACGGGCCATGAAGGCCCAACGTTGCCATCATGCGATGGTTTCTTGACGAATTCGCTTCCGGGACGGGTCGTCAATCCATCGCTGGAGAGGGGGATGGCGGTTCCTTTTAAATAAGTTATTTAAATATTTGAAATTATTTATCGCCAAACATATTATTGAAATACTCATTTTATAATTTACCGTCTGAGATAATGTTTAAAGAAATAAAATCTTATTAGTAATACATCAAAAGATGTAAAATAAGGTAAGTTGAGTCTCTATAATATATTTGCATACTTAAATTAAAAATTAAATATACAAAATAGGACATAATAATAGTAATAATCAAAATTGAATGGCTTAGCCGAGAGCCATTGAATAAATATATATTTTAACATTAAGGATAGTGTATACTATATAACATGTACACTGTAGTCTAGTTAGGCACACATTTTTTTGGTTTTTTACTTCCACAACGAAAAATTAGTACACCTCGGTGAAAAAAAAGGGATCGATAAAAGCATCAAATGTTTTGGCTAGTCGCAAAAGTATTCTTCATTTTCCATTTAAATAGCCCACAATACGTCCTATGTTTTTTTTTTAATTGCTCATAATTTTGTAATTTTTTAAGACACATGGTTCCTAACTACCGGCGTGTAAAAGCTTATGAATCATCAAGATTGGTTATAATTATAATTAAGTTATGACAAGTAGTTAAGCCGATAAAGTCCATTAAATATTTGGGAAAAAATATATTTAATTCAAAACACAATTATAGCTATAATCAATCTGACAGTCTTTTCATGGGGTTTTAAACGCTTTCAAAAAATTGCAAAATTATGCATAATTGAAACAAACTAGAATATCTTGTGGGTTATTTCAATTGAAAATGAAGAATACTTTTGCGACTAGCCAAAGAAAATCAGATTTTTTTTTCTTTTCCTAGACATTTTTTTTACCAAGATGTACCCATTTTTCGTTGTGGAAGCAAATATTTTTTTGTTTTTTGGACTAGTTTAAATTATATAGTTATAACACCTTTTACTATATTTTATTTGTTTAATTTTTCTATTTATTACAATAATATTTAATTTTTATTTATTATTTTTTCGGTAATACGGAAACATATAGGTCAGCTCTAGAGTAAATAGTAAATAAATCATGACTAATATTTAAATATTATGTAACAGGGTTAAGTAAATATTATTCATCTTATTCAATATAAAATCGTTACTGATGTAATATCAACAGCTCTAAACACATGTTTTCCAAAATATTGTTATTTTCGCGCTGAAATTTTAATATATAAAGCGATTAAACTAATACTAAAGAAATCAGTTAATTCTGCATTATTTCGTAATTCGTAAATATTTATTCTTCATCAGAATTTAATATGAAAAATATATTACCAATGTGTTTTTTTAGCAAAAGTTTCGTTTTTTTATTGTTAGGGTTGGTTTCTATCATACAGCATGGCTATATTGTGGTAAGATTTATTTATTTATTTTTATTTAACAGGTACGTAGTACAGGGTGTTCCAGCATGTAAGGTAAGTAATAGGTGATTGGACATCTAGGGGACCTCCAAATAAGCCCCCCGTTTTCATTTTTTCGATAAGTAAAAAATTGAAGATTTCGACAGTTAAGTAAAAAAAATAATGACCTAAAAAAACAAAAAATTATTCCATGTTATTCAGTGCAAAAAGCTCAAATTAAAAGAGGGGTCACATCATTTTCAGTCCCTTTCGGTCCCTAATTAAAAAAACGATAAGAGAAAAATGATTAGAGACCAGAAATAAAGGATAAATGATAAATGCTAAGACATAATTGATAAGAGATAAAAGAAAAAAGATAATTGGTAAGAGATAAATTATGAGAGATTAGAGATAAATGATAAGAGATAGGTGTTAAAAGATAAGATATTAGAGATAAATAATTAGAAGCAAGAGATAAGAAATAAATAATAAGATAAGTGATAAGAAAAGAGTTAGGGGCTGAAAAAGACTGAAAATGATGTGATCCCCCTATTAAATGTTAGCTTTTTGCACTGAATAACATGGAATCATTTTTTGTTTTTTTAGGTCATTATTTTTTTACTTAACTGTCGAAACCTTCAATTTTTGACTTATCGAAAAAATGAAAACGGGGGGCTTATTTGGAGTAATCACCTATTACTTACCTTTCATGCTGGAACACCCTGTATATTCAAGATTTTACTTAAACAAATATTTATTATTGTGAAAAGTGTAGATATTTTTCATAATATGAAATAATAACATAATTTAAAACTCACCCAGTAGAAACTCATGGCACTGTACTTTATAGTGATTAGTCAATTACTACCGCCGTTTTCTGTTCCTATCCCTACCTATTTATACCCCTATTTATCAAGATGTACTGTAAGACATTTTTTCGTGAAAAATAATTTAATCCTGAAACAATTATGATTATATATGTACCATATTCATGTATTTATACTGAAAAAATTAAAAGGATCCAGTATTTATTTATTTATTTATTATTAATACGGATATTATCCAATTACAATGCTTCACACAATATGCGTAACAGAAACATCTAACTAGAACTTACACAAATAACATAACAAATACAATTATAATAATTAGAGTAATAATACACAGATACAGGATATTGTTAAAATAAGTGGGGGTGCTCATTGGCAAGACGCATCATCTTATCAATTGGGTGGTTTCTACCGTAATTAGTGCTGTGGACAGGGATAATAAAAAGAGCAGACGACCTAGTGGGATAGGAAGGAACATTAAAGCTGATTTGTGAGAGTAGAGTGGGAGCATCAATACGCCCATCAATCAATTTACGCAGAAATGATAAGTTGGCCTCAACTCTCCTATCTACTAAAGGGACAAGACCAAGCATGTTTGCAACTGGTTGGTGTGGCTGGTGTTCGATATTTAAAATAAAAGAAGCAGAGTTTAAAAATTGCCTTTGGATACGTTCTATAAGGGAAGAATCAACTGCAGTAAAGGGGTCCCAGAGGACTGATGCATACTCTAGACGTGACCTAACGAGAGAACAGTAAATAGCCTTCAGTGAAGCGACAAATTTGAATTCTTTAGACATGCGTATAACGTAACCTTAGGGATTTACAACACATTACTTCGATATGAGCGTGGAAATCTAGCTCAGGGGTAAATAAGACACCTAGGTCTTTTATGCTATTTACCGGCTTTAGACTTACGCTGAAGTATTAAGTATGACCGCTAATAAGAGGTGTGCGTCAAGAGAGATTCCGCTGTAGTATAATCCTAACGATTCTTAATTAGAAATTAATTATCTTATTAGACCAGTACAGGGTCTTCGGCAACGTTGGTCTCACGCAGAATTCGTTTTAATTGGTCTATGATGGTTCTATAGCAAAAATATCTTCTTTTTTTTTTAATATAGAACCAATAATAGTCTGATCCTTGATCAGCTTGATACTTTAGTTAGCTAGTTAGATCCATTACTTAGCTTAGTACTTAATGTTGAAATAAAAATAACTTTTGTAAACATTTTTTTTTTAAACAGGGCTGCCAGGGTGTAAAAGCTTACGACAGAGATGTGTTAGACGCATTAAATAATATGCCATTGGGTGACACTGAAAATTTAAGTATAACTGAAAAAGACAATTTGGTCCAAGGAAAAGAGAACCAAGTAGCATTAAGAAAACTTAATCGAAAAATACAAAAGTTGAAATGCGTATATGGCAAAATAGTGCAAACCGCAATTGCTGAAATAAAAAGTGCGTCTATAAGTTACAATTTAACATCGTTGATAAAAAAATATCGACCTTATGTGTCAAAAATGATGTCCACGCTGATGACGGCCAATATAGTCGCTGCAAATTGGTTGTGGGATCTCCTCATATTGCTCGTGGCGGCAGAAAAGGTAAACTTGAAAGTTCTAGCGGGTTTTGAAAGCAAATTACTATCTATCTCCGTTCAATGCAACAGCTTCGTCGAGAAGTGTTACAACTTGACCTACCTAAGCCACAGCAATTCTTCTGTTAGTAAAGATCCTAGCCAAGCTTACAATGGTGTGATGAAAATTTTGAATGATGATATAAAAACTGGAGCCTACAAGAACTTGAACCAATATGCAGACGAATTCGTCAGTACGTCTAACATTATGTTGAACCAATTAAAAGTCGATTCGAATCCCATCAGTATTAAGCACATTATAAAAGAAGATTTATGGCGTAAAATTGCGGTACAACTGGAAAAAATGTGGGAAACCCCGGCAGATACATTAATTGGAAAACAGAAAGAAATCAGTCAACATCATGACACTATAATTGCCACGGTGAATGTGTCGGTGGCTTACGCCGTCTGGATTCACCTAAAAACTGTTGTGCGCAACAAAACTAATTCAGCTACTTGCAAACAGAGCGTGATCAGACATTATCGCAACTTGTTAGAAGTATTGAGAAAAGCTGTGGCCCAGCTTAGCTTGCAGGAAAATACATTTTACCAAAATCTACTAGAAAGGCTGTCCGAAGAGAATATTGTTTTACCTAAATTGGACAGTCTCGTTAATGATGCTAAGGATAATTTTTCCACATCTTTGAAAGCCATCATTATTGTGCAGAGCAATGCTCAGACTGTAATTAATAAACTCGAAATGGACAGCACATTGGTTACGGAATTTACCAACATCATCGAAATACCTGAAAAAGCATTACAAAACATTGATCAGCTTAGAAATTTCATAGTCGATGTAGCTGCTAAATTAACCTCGTTCCATTGGTCGTTAATGAAATACTACAAACAGTGCTTGTCCGACAATTGGATTGGACAATTTTGAAAACCTTAACTCAGTACAAAAAAAATCTTTAAACTATATTATGTAAACATAATAACTTTAATAGCTATCAATTATTAATTTAACTTTTTTACAGTTAGTTATGATTTAATTGTTAGGTTTAAACTGTAATATTTGCAATTAAAAATAAAACGATTAGTTGATTCAATGAAAATTAAAAATTTGTTAAGTTCAGTTATTTTTATAAAAACATTTTTTCGCTAAATAATTTTAAACTTTTAATAACAAGTGTTGTTTGATAATTTACTATTTGATATAACCTTTATTGTATTGTGTATTACCTTTACCTAAATTATATAGTTACTTAGTATTAAAAACAGTTTAAAACTTCATTTATTTTGAATAGAAATTTGTTCCTATAAATAAATTATGGGGCCACTCTAAATCTACATTCAGTCTAATTATCAGACTAAAAACTACGCTAAAATAGTAAATAAAAAAATAGTTTCTAATCCTTCTAGGAGAAAGGATTTATGGTATTTTTTTTGTTTGTCTTTTCAATTTTATCATTTTACTTCCTATTTATTTACTTTTTTATTATTATTGAAAATTAAGAAATGATATATTTTTTTTCAAAACTATTTTATTATAATATTTTAAACTAATCAAGATTTTTTATATGCAAAAAAAATTGACAAAACCATTCGTTTTACAACTGTAGCGGTTTTTAGAATAAATTTCTATACTACATCACAAATGTTATTAAAAGATAACTTATGGAGATGTCCATTTGTTTGGTCTAACTCACAGATCGAGCTACTGATGCGGGAAACTACAAACATATTTTAATACCTTAGATTTGAAAATAGTAAGAATAGTATCTTAATTAATTAATTTAATGGTAATTAAAATCTGTTTTTAAATTTCTTATCATATCAGTACGATCGGTACCTAACACTGAACGTTAGTTTGACAGAGGCAAAAAAAATCGTTTTCCAATCGCCTTAAAAATTTCCCTGTATTTATTAAGGAGATAGTCAAAGTGGATTTTATACATTTTAATTTAAAAATTGAACTGTGTTATGTAATTATTAGTTCAGTAATTAAGACTCTTTTTTTGGTATTTAATTTATTTTTTCGGATTATCACAGCACCCTTGACAGCGATTTGAAAAAAATTGCATGTTAATTTAGCTAAGCAAAATGCGTTTTACTCGGTCAATAGTGGTTTTATAACAAAAACACTTACTATAAAATCGAATGATTACAACATTCGACATATTGAAAATAATAACGTAAAAATGAGTTATTTTAAAAAAGCAAAAAAATGTGATTTGTTAAATATTAAGTAAAATATTAGGTTTATCAAAAAAAGGATATGACATTTGCTCCAAAATCTTATCATCTTTCGTTTTGATTGTAAGTATTTTTGCTCCAAAATCATCACAGATCAATTAAAACGTATTCTGCGTAGGTATTAACCACATGTAGCCCGATTTTTATTCTGAAAACTTTTTGGAATTCCTCATCATCTCTCCTATAGTTTATGATATCGACTGCTTTTTCTTATTACTTCTTCGCATTTTAAAATAGTTTTTGTAAAGAAAAAAATTTTAACTATTCTAAAATATTGAAAAATAATAACAGCTTAAAGCCGATACTACAAATCACAGAAGAGATGATGAGGAATTCAAAACTTTTTTCAGAATAGAAATCAGACTTTACAGGATGATGGAAATGTCAAGGTTCTATTTACACTAAATTTTAGCACAGTCGTGAGACCCCTTAAAGCTAACATTCTTTGGAACCTCAACCAAGGGCTGTAGCTTAAGCTAGTGTCGCATGAATTAAACGTTTTATATTTTTTCAATAGAAATTGTAAAATTTATTATATACCTAGGTATAACTTAAAGACCCAGTGCAGAATTTGCACACTATAGGCAACTTTTGAATTTTGTTTATGTTAAATTGTTTTATTTTAATTACTTATAAGATACCATTTTAAAATTTTTTTACACTAGTTACAGCAATTTCAGTGGTGAAAAATTAATTTAAGGAAAAGTAATGACACCTCATCATAAATGTATTCGGATTTTGATAAAATGTTTTCTTTTTTATTTGAAAGACCAAGACTTCATATACTTTACCTAAGGATTTAACTTGTTATGAGTTATTACATAGATAAAAAAAAAAATTCTGGAAAAAGATGTTATTGATTGTTTTCTTCAATCAACAATGAAACCATTGAAGAAGCACCTGTTAGTGTGTATCAAATTGTTTAACGCTGTCATAAACGGAAAACAATCTTTAGTAAACAACATTATGTATCAATAATAATAAGTATATAATAAATAACAATAAGTATAATATGTCAACACATATTTTCCTTGAGCTTGCGTATTTACGATCAAGGTGATTAAATATTTTTCATTCAAATATCTGAATCATAAATTAAGTCTCGATAAATATGACACCACACATTTTGGAGCAGAATTATTTTCCTAATAACCTATATACTATTACGTTTGTTATTTTATAAACATATTATTTTTTTGTTTTGTTACTATTTACTTAAACCTACGATATAGAATATAAAATGCAAGAAATTAGATTATAGCAATCTAATACATACTTTTTTTGGAAACTGGATTATCAATTGATTATAAAATTCCATTTTTCGTTTAACGTAACTTTCTTGTTGCTTCAATATGATTTTCTTATATCGTTTACTTATATTATCTTTAATAGGTTTTGTTTTTTGCTTTGAATATGGCTTGTCTATAACGGTAAGAAATACATTTTTTTATTTTTAAAATATTATTTAAACTATTATTCTATACCTCATTCTAGATTTAGGCTATTGTCCCAACTTGCATTATTATATATATACTTAAAGATAAGACATTAATTTACTTAGAAAAAAGTTAAGATTTCATATTTTATTGTGTAACGTGTTTTATGTTTTAGTTTTTTTAGTTAATTTTGTAGCTCTATTTGTTTTTGATACGTAAATGGCAACCTACATATTTTGAATACTAATAAAACCGAGAACTATTTATAAAAAAAAATATAAGAATTGTTTAAACTAAAATGATAAAATCACTTCTAAATAAATGCTTTGATGCAATCCGTATGTATAATATATATGGGCCAAAACGCAAAATATACAATTTTTTTACGACCATAGCTAAAATAATCAAAAAAAATATTTGATTACATTCTATTTATCGTAAGAGGCATGCAGTGTAATTTCAAAAAAATCCACGGGAGGTCACTCCAAACGTTCGTTTATATTTTGCGTTTAACCCAAGTATAAAATCATTGTCAATGATGTGCTTGAAATTGTAGACTTATTATTAGGGTTGATCGTCTGTCTATAAAAAAATATTGCCATAGTTACCCATATCGTAATTAACAATAGAATAGAAATATTTTCATTGTCAGTTGACTGTTAATTCGCTCACACATACCACATAGGAACCTAGAAATTGACTAGGGTTAATATTCTATGTAAATTTGAAACTAATTCAAATATTTTTTTAAAAGTTATAGAACACCGTAATTTTAATTTGTAAAATATGTAAATTGGTTAAATGTTTTTTTCGATTTTGTAGGGGAAAATTCTTATGTTGTTGACCAAATAACTTCAGAGACGATTTCTGATCTACAGAGTTGTTTCACAAAGAAATCGGTTCAGGGGTTTAGATGATATTATGGTAATATAACTTTTCTAATATTTTTTTTAGGAAGCTAAGAAAGTTTTACATAAAATGGGTAAATTTCAAATTGGGATCTCCATAAAAACGATCAGAAAAAAAGAGGTGAAAATTCATAGAAAAGTCGAAAAACGGAAAAAAACGACCACAGTTTCAAAATAGTTATCTGTAAAAATTAGATAATTTTTCGACTTTTTACGATTTTTTACCTCATTTTTTTGTTTTTTACGCGTATTTACCCCAATTTGAAATTCATACATTATATGTAAAATTTTCTTAGCTTTCTGAAAAAAATATTAGAAAAAGTCTCAAATTTTGGACAACACGAAACAAGCAACTTTTTAGAATAAAAATTTAATTTTTATGACTTTCTGTGACGCAAAAAAAAATCAATATTTTTTTCAAAAAGCTCAGATTATTTTACATAGTTAACTAATTTGTAATACATTTTTTTGATGCCGAAGATACTATAAAAAAAAAAGATAAAAAATAGGTGTCAAGATAAAAACTCAAAATACTTTTTACCACCATTGCCAAAATATTCGAAAACAAAATTGAGAACATTCTTTTCATCGTAACAGACATTCAGTGTAATTTTCAAAAAAAAATTGACGCGGAGTCGGTCCAAACGTTTGTTTACATTTGGCGTCATAACCCATATTCAAAAACAAAAATAATGAAATCGTAATTATACCAAGATAAAATAAGTGCGTTAACTTAACAAATCATCTGGTTAATATGTATAAAATTGGCGTGCATAGAACTTTTTAATTTAAAGTTATTAAATTTAAAAACATTATGTTAAAAGCAAAATTGTTTCAAGTATTGTAATAATGAGTCATATTCATATATTTACTATATTATTCTAAAATAAATATTTTTCTTTATAATATACCTAACTTAATAAATGTAAATTTAATTGTTTTTATTCTTCCTGTATTATAAATTTAAAATGTATGCTTAAATATTTAAAACAATTCTAAGTGACAAATGTTCTTTTTCCAGGGCCCACCGCCTTACAACGCTGATTTTTTATTGAGTTTGAATAACATTCCAACAGTAAAAGCTATCTCCTTCACTTCGGTTGAAATAGCCGAGTTGAAAACGAGCAACGTTAACGTTAACACTATGTTTAAATTCAAAAACAAAATGACCGACATCAAATGCATATATGGCGATGTTCTGAAGAACGTAATAATCAAAATGAAAGAAACTAAAAATAAATCTGAGTTGTTAGCCATAGTTAAAGAATCTAAGGTTTACTTATCTCAAATGTTTTCGGTTCTGTTCATGGGAAAAACAACGGTCGCAAATTGGCTGTGGGATTTATTTATGTTACTAGAAGGCATAGAAAAAAATCCTGGAGATCA